TCTCTCTCTCTCTCTCTCTCTCTCTCTCTCTCTCCCCTAGACGTACCACCAAAACCCTTACCAATAATACGAATTACGTTTTCTCTCCTTTGCTGCCAAACCCATAGAATTTGATCAAATTTTTTCGTTAACACATGCATTGAGTTTATGTTTCGTTGAGTTTTAAATTTGAATAAATATATACAGAAATTTAAATAATATTTTAGGCTATATTGTAGTTTATTTTGTGTTTTCATTCGTTAATTAGTAATGCATTTATTGTATTGAGAGGTCTTTTAGATGAATATTTGTGTTGAGAAAAGTGGCAAAAGTTTTTGAGGCAAAAGAGATCTATAGAGTGAGTGAATGGAGAGGGAAAGGAAAACACAGCGAAAACACCTGCTTTGATCCCATCATTATTTTAGGCTTATATTCTGTCGGAGTTTATATAGCATTGTAAGGAAAATGGGAAGCGTTTAGAACATTGGGTTTGGAATAGTGGGTGAAAGTGAATGTTAGTGAGCGAGTGAGTGAATGTTAGTGAGCGAGTGAGTGAGTGAATGAGAGAGAGAGAGAGAGAGAGAGAGAGACTTATAACTTAATTTATACATTAGAGTTGTTATATGCAATAGATTTCGTCCGCTTGTCATTCATTAAGGAATTACAGTTAAGTTTTTTACTTGAATACTAAAATTATAGTCAATATCCACTCAATAATGCATTCATGTATTCAATGATTATTTAAAGCGGATTTCATGAGGAAGTAAAACGAAAGCACGTATTAATATACAGAATATGCTTTTTGGGACTGCTTTTAATTTAATAAAAAAATCACATTTCAATCAAAAAACTTCTCCAAACGTCTAATCAAACGCAGTATTAAATTAAAGACGACTTCAAAAACTTTGATTTTAATGTTGAAAACTAATTATAAGTCACCAGAAATGCTGTTCTCTTTCATCTGAATCGACATAAACTCGCATTTTATTAGTATTTCGATTCCGTTTTATTATATATAAAATTGTTGCTCTCTCTCTCTCTCTCTCTCTCTCTCTCTAACGTTGAAATTTTCTCACAAACACCCAAATATTGTTGTCATACATAACATTCAACGGTAAGATTTTAGTTTAAGAGAAAATCTAATGCTCTCTCAAGTGTTCATCAAAACAACTCCACAACTCCTACAGAAAACAACATATTTTCTACTCATATATACGGGAGAGTGAGTGAGAGAAAGACAAGGGAAAGAGCCGTGCATTATATAAAAGCATCGCATCTACTTTAATACATGGTTAGATAATATAAGCATAAAATTCTTTGCCCAATATGAAAAAAGTAGTGCCACTCCTGTGCCATAAGTCAATGGATTATAGTGTAAATCGTATGTTGAATCCCATTTTCACAGCCATTTATACCGTGTTTTAAGTGATAATATTTTTTCTTTTTGAAGAAAAGTATAAAAAAATTGATAAAAGAATAATTAAATGTTTTAAAAAGGAAAGAGAAAAAACACAACACATATAGTAAATGGATTGCGAGATCTTATATGAGATCTTCAGGGCGTACTGTAATATCATAGCATGGGTTCGTCTTATGGGCATAATTTTGTCCGTATTTTTTGCCTTAATTTTTGGGCATTTGGGATGAAGTGCCCGGAAGAGCAATGAAAACGTTCTTGTTTTGTATAAATAAGACACATATAATAATACATTTTATTATTAATCCCACGCATCGGTGTTTTGACTAATTTTAATACCATTTATGCTATTGTTTTGTTGACTTAAATGCATATGTATTACAATTAATCGGCAAAACTATGGGTCTCTATGAGACAGAATCAGTCGGAAGATCAAAGTCCGACACTGAATGCCAGTGAATTCACTTCCAAAGAATGGGAGACTTATATATATCTAATATCTCTATAGATATAGATATGAATTAGAAATAATTATTTAATGCAAACAACAAAATTCAGCACAAAATAAATTTCTACTGATATCTGAAATTACGATTTCACATAATATTCCTGTATATTATAGTATAAGTTGTGTTTTATATACGTTTGATAATAGACTAAATAACCATCTTTTTTAGGGTGTAGTTCCTTCAGCGCACATACATTTAAATTCTTTACTTACTTTACTTTATTTTTACCATAATTTTTGTTTTATTTGATGATAAATTGAGCTTCATTTGGAAAATAAAATATTTATCCCATATATTCATCACTTTGTTTCAAGTATTAAAATATTGTTTTTAATTTTGTGTGTAATAAACGGTTAAATAACAATAAAATTAATGTGAAAATTATTTCGTGGGCTTTCCGTACACAACAAACAACTAATTATGTATTCATCAAACAGTATAAGCGAACAATTCATTAAATTCTGCATTTTATGTAATTAATCATTAAATACTTTTTGTCTAAATATGTTTTGTATATGTTTTTCTAACTATTATATGAAAATTTTATACTAATTAATGATATTTTATTCCCATTTATAATTAACGACACAAAGCGTTTTGGTTGTTGATCGTCGAGATTTCATGTCAGGGCAATATCGGTGGCACTTATGACTTAGGAGAGGGTCGTTGGGGCGAACGGAGAGGTATGATATACACGAATACTCAACACCGTTATAAACAACCACTTCATCCCATTATTCCTTTACTCTCTCTCTCTCTCTCTCTCTCCGCTCACTCACACACTCACTCACTCCTATAGTATTTATATCGTAATTATTTGAAGAGAAATGTGAACTAAACTCGGAGTTGGAGTTCGCGGCAATGGCTCGAGAAATACACGTCTGAATATTGATATTTATTCGTTGGCCTCTCTCTCTCTCTCTCTCTCTCTCTCTCTCTCTCTCATTCACTCTCTCACTAACTATTGTCCAAACCGTTAAACCAATTTGTTTTGTATTAAAACTCTGGTTAATTAATTTCTAACCCAATTTTCATAATCCTTTCATTCGTTATAATTAATTAAAACTGAAATATGTTTTGTTTGTTTAACAAGAAAGACACGTATTGTGTGCTATTTTGTTGTATATAAATCTAATCTACATTTTGAATCAAATATTAATTGCAATAGTAATGTAATCGTTGACCACATTTGTCTTCAGGTGATTTGGGACCGGCAGGTATTGCGGGCATAACTATAGGCGCGGTCGCAGTGGCCGGCGCTCTGGCTGTCACCGTCTTCTTCTGCTATTATGTACACCAGAAGCAGAAAAGGGCCGAAACACAGGCCTATGGATCACATGGTATATACAATTACTGCCCTTTTTATATATACACAAAATGTATTATTTAAAGAGATAACTTATGGACGCATTTTCAACGCTATTTATAACAAACAAACAATTATTTTCTCACTCATTGTTTTTTAGTTTTAATTAATATTAATTACGATATAAATACTATAGGAGTGAGTGAGTGTGTGAGTGAGCGGAGAGAGAGAGAGGGAGAGAGAGAGTTTATGTAGTAAAGGAGTTTTCTTAAAGTTAATATATAACAAAACTCGCTCTTATAAAAAGCAAAGTTGGTATTAAAAATGCAAAAAACAAAATCATTAACTTATTTACAGAGTTATTAAATAACCAGAAAATAACATAACAACAAAATAATGCGTTCGTAGAAAATAGTTAATAAAATATATTAACAGAAAAAAAGTTTTTTGTTGCTCTCAAACAATAGTGAAGTGAATTGAGAGACGAAGTTCGTTGTCCTCTAATATAAAAAATATAATCAAATAATAAAAAACAACTAAAATATTAAATACAAAATAGAAGAAACGATTTTTTTATATTAGCTTTTTATTATTTCTGGTGAAAAAATACAATGAATTTACGCTTAAAATTAATTAACGTTTTTTCGGTCGTTTTATTAATACACTATTACTATAACTATTATGACTAAATTGATAAAACTATTTTTTCCATATATTTGATGGCACAGGATATCGCAAACCCGCGTTTCAAAACTACTAATCACACATCAAAATGCATTATATTCTAGTATTTTTATCGATTTATTTGGTGGTTGACTGACATCAGACACACAGAATATACACATACATGCCATCCATAACTAACTTTATATATAACCAACTATTTTGTAATTTGCAACCTATATTATATTAGTATCTAATTTGTATTGTTATACAGAATAATGGTTTACGTAAAAAATGGTCTTTTTATTATATATTGAAAATATTTCATTAGACTTAATAAGATATCCATTATATTGAAGTCAAACGTTAGCAAAAATAATATAATGTAATAATAAAATTTGAGTGAAAATATAGTTCAATGTGTGTTTGTGTGTATATGTTGTCTGTTATTATGATTGCATTCAATATTTTTCTCCTAAACAATGATTTTAATAATGTATTTACACTTTTTATTATTATTCCTAACATATATATAAATATATACGAATACAACAATAAATATTCATAAAATACATATTTAACTTTTATATAAGAAATTTGTATTCATAATAAAAATAATGTGTACTTATTATTGCATTTGAATTATATGTTTGTTTGCTTTTACTTTGCATTATATAAATTATATTTTACTTTAATTTTCTTTCGTTGTATAAGGCTTTCCATTAAAATTATTTTTGAATAAATAATATTTGACCGGATTTTTGATGGTAATCAGGGTTATAAGGAAAGGTGTCTTTAATCTCTCTCTCTCTCTCTCTCTCTCTCTCTCTCTCTCTCTCTGATTAATTCAAATGTATATACAATTTATAAAGTGTACATAAAGTCCATGTTTGGTAATGGGAAGGCCGTGGCTAATGGACCCGCAAATGTGTAATGCAATCAAATATTAATGTTTTCATAAAAAATACATTTACAACAAATAGTGAAGTTTATTGAAGTATTGCTCAATTGATTCAATGATCAATATCTGTGAGGAAAACATAATTTTTATTACAATTTTATACATAAATCTCACATTTCGGCTAACATTTTGCAATATTCTGTATGTATTGTATAATAATGTCATCTGATATTTGGACATAATGTACAATAACTAAAACATGATTGTCTCAAATAGATCCTCTCTCCCCCTCCCCCGTAGTATATAGTATACTGGGTTAAGAACCTCCATATAGTGTACACCTGTCCTCAAATATGTGTTCATTATATGGGAGATTGACTGCAATTTCAAGTTAATCATTGTTTCCGATGGTGTCATACAATCGGATAATAAGCAGAAAAACAGATTTTATTGAGTCTATGATTAGAGGCAATAATTCCTAATAAATGGATCAAAAAAAAAAGTTTTACAATTGAAACAAAAACTTTTTTCCATATTAATAGCACACATGCAATGCAATCGCACTGTCAGTCAATATGAATGCAGTGATTGCCCTATCATTCAATGTGTGGCACAACTCCTAACAAACCCAAACTCAAGCCTTTCTGTTCACACATACTATTCATAAGCACTGCAATCGCCAACAGATGGCACTCAAAGTCCACACCTATGTGTGTATCTGTAAGTTATGCCCCACGAAAGTACAGTCAAACCCGTGTTTAGAGTACACGTTTAGCTCAAACATATGTTCACTATATGCGGGGTTCGTGAACAGTGTCGGCGAGTAATTAGTAAAATGTGTTGTGATTTTACACCCCTTTCCATACGATTACTGAACGCCAGTCACTAATCAATACATTATTGGCGACACATAAGCCAGTAATGCAAACATGTGTTTGCGTTTAGCTATATTTTGGGACTAAAACTTTTTTCCATTGAAAAACTTCTTAAAACTTCGTGAGCATTACATTTGAGACATATTTCTCGCACAAATACATCACTCATTCATAACTACAATACACTAATCAAACAATGAGTGACAAAAAGACTTCATTATAAAAGTCATACGATATGTTAATATAAGAGTAAAGTTAGAGACAATTCATAACAACGATAACCCAATTGAGTGGGCGATAGAAACGGATAACGCATAAACTGCTCGCATTATTTTCATAGTGTTATGCTCAAGCATTGACAGTGCATTGAATCTGCTTATCACTCACATGTCTGGCTACTCACACCACTGCTCAGTAGTGCTGTTTATCGATTACAGTCAGTATTGCATAACACTATGAAAATATTGCGAGCGGTTTACAACAAAACACAATATAAAAAAGTAAATGTATATTAAAACCGGCGGCGACTGTAATGCTATGCAAACTATTCAAACAATTTCACGCAATACGAGTCTAATAGAGTGTGTATGCGTTATGCATAGCATTTTGCCTACTATTGTAACGAACGCTCTGATTGGATGGCGAGACACAATACAGTGGTCTAAAGAGCGCAGTCATTGGTGAAGCGTATGATGAATGTGTTGGCTAACCGGTGGCACCTCTAGCGGTGAGGGACGCGAGTGTGAGTGTGTTGTGAGCGCTTGTTTTGGACACCATTTATGCTGAGAGAGCAGTGACTGAACGGTGAATGTATTGTAAACATACATAACGTATACAACAGTGAGAGAGAGAAATGCAATGCAATGAATGACTGCAATGAGTGAAGCGTTTGGGCATTGAATTTACGGCCAAAAAGCCCTATCAATACATACCAGACGTATAAACACAACCATTGAGTCGTTTTCATACCGTTTGCCATTCAGTGGTCAGTGAAACACATCCACAACAACACAAGACATTGTCATCCAAGGGATTAACTGATGATGACTTAGACAACACAGTGACAGACCGTCGCAACTATAGCTATTGGATCCACTCATTGAGTGTCGGTGGCTGTCATCCGAGACAACAATCACCACAACATTGATAATGAAGACTAGAGGCAGCTGTGGCTGCGGTGGCCGTAATGGCCGCCAGTGTGTGCTCAGGCGGTGGCCATCCGTGACAGTGATTGTGATGATAATGACAGTGACAGTGGCGGTGACGGCGGCCGCGAAGGACAGCCACACGTTGTCGTCGTCGGCGGTCGCGAAGACTAATTACACGTATTTCGAGGAACGCAATAGTGATCTATACTTCTCGCACCTGACGGTCAACTCATACACGGGTCAGGTATATGTGGGCGGCGTTAACCGCATCTACCAGTTGTCGCCCCAATTGGCGACCGAAGCGGTGGCCGTAATGGGACCCGAAGAGGACAGCGCCGACTGTCCGGTCACCAAGAATTGTCCCAAAACGGTGAAGAAGCCCACCATTTACTACAACAAAGTGCTGGTCATAGACTACGCCCAGTCGCGGCTCCTGTCGTGCGGTTCCCTATTCCAGGGCGTGTGCTCTGTCCACAAGTTGGACAATGTGTCCAGTTTTGAGTCGTCCACTACGGAGTCGGTGGCCGCCAATAACGCCACCGCTTCCACAGTGGCCTTCATAGCGCCCGGACCTACAAAGTCGCCCAAACATGTCCTCTATGTGGGCGTCTCGTACACAGCCAACGGTCCCTATCGGTCCGATGTGCCGGCCGTCAGCTCCCGATCGCTCGATCCCAACGGTCCGTATTTTTGTTAATTGTGTTGAGATTTGTGTTTAGATTAATGGAGTTTTTTGTGTTTAAATTAATATAAATTGTAATTTATTTGTGCATATTTTGTGCTAACCTTTGGAAAATCAATACATATTTATGTTATGACATTAGCCTTAGGTTTACACAGGGTTTTAGGCATTCAATTGAAATGCAGTTTTGAATTGAGTTTTGTTTAGGTATTATTTTGAGGGTTAGATATTGTTTGAGAAATTGGGTTAAAATATATTTTTCGTGAATTTTGCTGGCATTATATTCAAGTCTTTTTTAATTGTTTGTATATATCTTTTGATGACATAATAATTGCTGTCTTTCTTCGCCCGTTTGGGTTATATTTATGTATTGTATTGTTGTTTGAGAAGTGAAACAGTATTTTAATAATATATAGTTTTGCAGAATAGAAATAATTGATAATTGAATTTGTTATGCGAAACGAGTTTATGAGTTAATAGTGTTATACAATAGTCGTGTTTCTCTGTAGCCATTGTTAATGGAAAATGTGTTATAGCTATTGATTGATCTCAAACTTGAAACTCATGTTTGGTTTGTCTTGTTTTCCCGTTTCCCGCAGCGATGTTCACGATAGCGGCCACAGGCGTGACCACTGGCACCCGCCTGTTGGTCAACTCGTTGGCCAGAGACCGGTACCCAATCAGCTACGTGTATGGCTTCCAGTCGCGGGGCTTCTCCTACTTCCTGACCATTCAGAAGAAGAGCGCCGAACAGTCGCGTCCTTTCGTCTCAAAACTGGTGCGGATTTGCCAGAAAGACGCCGACTATTACTCGTACACAGAGGTGCCCATAATGTGCCGCTCGTCGCACGACAACCAGGACTACAACTTGGCTCAGGCGGCGTTCGTCGGCAAACCCGGATCAGAGTTGGCCACGAGTCTGGGCATCACAGCGCAGGACGACATACTGTTCATAGCGTTCGCTAAGTCTCGCGACGAGTCCGATGTGTACAACAAGCCGTCGGCTCACTCGGCCCTCTGTGTGTACGCCTTGTCCGCCATTCACCGCAAGTTTACCCAAAACATCCAACACTGCTTTAATGGCAATGGAAACCAAGGCCTTGACTTCATAAACATCATACAGCCCTGCGTTCCCACTGTAAGTCATGTGTTCGCAGACCTATTCTTACTTTGATTATCACTTAATTTCATCTCATTTGCCGTTCACTTGCTTTTCCTATTGATTACTCATTTCCTAACGTTTTCCTCTATTTTTCTAATTAGTGTTTGATTTTGATTTCTGTGCCATTCGTTCGCTATTTATTTATTTAAGAGTTTTTGCATTAGATTTGACTATTATTTGCATTATTATTTATTCATATGATTTATTACACGATATATTATACTCTGTTTTGCCTGTTTTTTATTCCCTTTAATTTAAACGATAAAGTAATCTATAATTAGAGGATAATTGTCGGCATATTTTTGTCATTTATTTCGGATTTTCATTATTATCTGGTTTTTTATTTGCCTCTAATTCTAGCCAATTGTCGGGATTAAAAATTCTTGAAATGTTTTCCTCCCTTATTATGAGTACTGTTTCCCAATCTCTGTGTTGTTTTTGTCGAGTGTTCACTGATTTTTATTTTGTTAACGATTTGTCTGAAAAACTTATCACTTTTTCTCTCTACTGAATACTAGTATAAAGAGTACTAATAATCCAACAGAAAGCGAACCCTCTTTTTGTTCTCATTATAAATTGTGAGTTTGTTTTAAT